AGAAAATGTTGAAAATCACGTTGACATGTGAATGGCATTTCAGTCAATATAGTCAATTTAGAGAAAGCCAATGGCTACCATGAGGATCAATATAGGGAAAATGGAATAAAATGAAAACGTATAACGTTAACATGGTAATGGCATTTAGTCAATACTTTGAAGAAATCTAAAAGAAGAATGGAACGAATAGATAGGCTTCTTAACGAATGAATAATATGAAAATATATATATAAAAGGATACATTTCTTCGGAATGGAGTTTTAACACATTCTTCGAATGACAACGATCACGAAAATAAAAGCTCAGAGTGTGGGTAAGGACTGAATCTAAAGATATTTGCCGTTTTTTTTTTTTCAGCTGTGCCTTTAAGGCATTAGCTACCTTTTTCTTAGACTGAGCTCTGCTTATTTCTAGAATAGGAAATAGAGAGAAGAGTTTTGCTCCAGGATTTGCATTACCAGATTTGGTATTAGCCAAAAGAGAGTTAAGTGCTTAGAAATAGGTACAATAACTCGACAGTTGGCCCCATCAATCATGCAGCATGTGGATGTGGGGGGCGGGAGTGGGGCCTAGCGCTGGGCCAATAAGGGAAGCGAATCATTAGACATTGTCAGGGCACCGAAATGGGCTAGTTCCTGCAATTTGTCCATATTCGAATGCAGTCAAATGCAGCGCTTGGGGCAACGACAAGTTCAATTGCAACACCAAGTTGCACGGTTGCCTGGCTGTGTGGTAACCAAATATGGCAAATGTCTGCGACACCTTTTGCGGCAAGCGGCATTAGTTGCAACTATGCCAGTGCAGCGCTTGGCATTGTATGTGGCAGCGCAATGGGCGCATTGTGTGGAATCGACACCACTGTGGCATCCACCACTGACACAGTTATGTGCAACAAAAGATGCGCGCGTTGCTGCCAACATATCCAGAGCCTGGATGCAGCGTGCGGCACAAAGGTTTGCGGCTAACACGCAACTAGGTCAACGCTGTCGCCGTCGCCGTCGCCGTCGCCATCCTCATCATCATTACATCAATGCCTGATCTGCGGCCTAGGCAAATGCACTTGCTAAAGTGTGTGTGCCTGTGTGTGTGCGTGTGTGTGTGCCTGTGTAAGTGTGCGTGTGTGTGTTGGCTTCAGTGCGCGTGAACGAGTGTCACATTTGCCTCGCGAAATTGGAGCAAATGTGCGCGTTAGGGCAGCTGCCACTGCGAACCTGCCCGCTGACAAGCAGTTCCCCTCACTTCCCGTCCGTACGTCCGCCCATCAGCCCGTCGGCCACTGTTGAGCCCCACTTCCAGACCGTCTCCATTTGCTCTTATTATGCGCGCTCTCGCATTATAACGGTTCGCAATTACCATTCACCGCTACCAACGCAAAGCGTGCCCCGTTGCCGCTAATGTGGTTGCTGGCAGCTCCGCCTTCCGCCTTCCGACAGTCGCCCGCCGCCCGCCGGCCGCCGGCCGCCGACTGCCGCCTGCCCCTCTCCAGCGGCTGTCCGCCTGCTGCATAATTAGTCATTTTCCTGGAGCGCCGCCCGCGCCATTGTTGTCGCCGTTTGTCGTTCTCGGTCTCGTTCTCGTTTTGATATTGGACTTATTCTACTCTACGTGCAGCTCGTTGTGCTTAGTTTTCCAGCTCAATTCTAAACTTCGCACGCCCCCTTTGCTGACTGAAGTCCACTCAGAGAAAAAATTGTATGGCCAAATGTTAACTAAAGGATTTTTTCGCTAATATTAAAAACCATTTCTTATCTGTCTGTCCTAACTGATTGACTGACTGATTGATTGATGATCAATGCTTGGGTCAAACCACAAAAGCTACACAGCTGAAATTTTAGCTAAAGTTATCTTCATAACTTTATTCCACCCGCAACGGTGGAAAATTCGTGGAAAACGCTTGTATCAATACATTTTCGTTCGTCCTCAAAGTCATTGCTGAAGATTTTTGTGAAAATTCATTTAAGTAGTGCTATCACACTTTTCGCAAAATACAATACATAAAAAGGTAAACCTTTTTGTGGAAGAAGCTTATATGTAGTTTAGGCCGATCGGCTTCAAATTTATTCTCAACGCTTCATAAAAAATAAAAACTAAGCAAATTGAATTACAGTAATTTGGTGAATTCCACCCGCAAATGTGGAAAATTCGCGACAAACGGTTAGATTGAAATTGTATGCTGCTTCAAACCCATTTTGGAAAATCTTTGTGAATGTGAATTTGAGAGATGCTTCCCAGATCTTCACTGATAAATAATGAATTTTGGCTATTTAAAGCTTTCGACCCATATATTTTTCTGCGTGTAGCCGCCGACGCAAAGGCTTGAGAGCATCTTCAACCGCAACTACAGTTGGTGGAGTCAATTGGCTCAATTGCAGTCTTCAAGCGTGACAGAAATGGAGCACAACAGCAACAAGCAAATGACATAAGCCCAGGCCAGAAACAAAGCTCGAGTAGCCAGTAAGAGTGAGATAGTCAGTACGAGTGGGAGAGGGAGGGGAAGAGGGAGAGAGGAAGAGGGGGAGAGAGTGGGGCGCAGGCGTGACAAACGACGATGTCGTTGTTTCTGATTCTGATTCTGATTGTAATTGTGATTGTTAGGTTGATGCGCTGATTTGGTGCCCAGCTCTGATGAAATCATTCTAAATAGTTAGTTAGAGGCCAAACAACTCGTAAATGTTTCCTTATGCAACCCCAGTCACAGGTACTCGAGGGCAACTCGCAGCCCGCTCTTTCAAGTGCTTTAGGTGAACCGTTAACTGTGGCACTCGTGCATCATTCATGATGCGACTCATATTAAGCAGCGGCAGCTGCCACACACACGCGAAGCCCACGACCTACATCTGGCATAAATACATCGCAAATAGTTAATACTAGAGAGCACTTAACTCTTGCTTATTTTAACGGAGCGAGTCGCAATGACAATAAGAACTTAGACAATCTAAAATAGGTGCATGTACTGTATCATTCTTTGAGAACTATGAGCCCTACATTCTATTCAATTTTATCTCAAGCACATTTTTATTCATTAATTTACTTGTTTTGTTATCATTTTTTCTAGCTGTAATAATAAATATTACCATTTAAAATAATTAAAAATTAATTAAATATGGTTCAGTAGAAGATAACTTGTGCCCGGATCTAAAGTACCATGACATATATTTTTATTTGTATGTTAATTTATATGGAATTATGTACTTACCCAAAAATTCACATATATACGCACGATTAATTTTATTGCCATCCATTAGTCGAAGGTAGACTTGTAACACATCACTGAAAAGACACAAGCAGAAAGAGCATAAAAGTAAGAGCAACCAAAAGAGAGAGAGAGAGAGAGAGAGAAAGGACAGCGAGAGAGCAGTAAAGTGCAAGAGAGTTAATTAGAGTGCGGTTCTAACCTGAGATATATTTTAATAGGTTTGTTAATAGAACACTTCTATTCAAGGCATGAAAACCAGCCAGGCTTACTTGAATTTATGAGAATCGCATAGTAGAGCACTGTGTAAGGAAATTCGTTCGCAGCAGGAGGTATGCCTGAGTTCAATTTGGTATAGGACATACTTACATACCAATGAACATATTTACATACACACTTAAATAAATACCAATGTACATATTACACACACACTTAACAAACATACACACACTCATATATACATTATTGCATACAAACTAACAAACTTACATACCTGCACTCATACATACATTGACTCATACATGCAAGCATGTAAACATATATGCATGCATGCACACATTCATGCTTACATACACTAATTTATACATACATACATTCACAGAGTCGTATGTAAGCAAATGTTCATACAGGCATATATGTACATATTTATGATGAAACATACATACATACATAAACACACACATACACACACACACACACACACACACACACACACACACACACACACACACATATTCATCCATATATACATGCAAGCACACATGCAAACATACATACAAAATATATATTTTCCGCGCATGGACAATTCATATTTCCCGTCAACTCTAATTTCGGGAAGTTCTAACTGATGAGTGTATTGAAACATTATGTTCAAGAAGACATTTTAAATTTGAGTTGATTGACGAAATAACTAATACGTTATATTATTCATCAGCAAGGAAATAATTAAATAAATAAAATTAATTTTTAATTATCAATATAGGTAGTTTATTATATCTCTGATGTAACTCTGGAGTCGTAGGCCCAGTAGGTCGGTGGGTTTGATGAACTTTCCAATAATTTGCATTGGTGCATTCTGCTGCAGTTCTGCTAAATGCGGATATGGAATAAAATTGAAATATGTGCGATAAGTACGTGAAGTACTTGAAGAAGGCAACTCGGCACTTGGCACTTGGCACTCGGCTGATGCTTTGGAAAATCATGTTGCACACTCGAGCGTGGACGAGGCTCGGTGCCACTTGAGCGGCACAGAGTCAGGCAACTGCGGTTCCATTTTTGCGATAGATTCCAATCCGATTTGTTGCTGTTTAGTGGCAACGGAGTGCGGAGGCCGTGCTGTGGTTCCCATCCCATACCATGCCGCAGCCGAAGTAAACCCATTTCCATCCAAGTTGATCTGCAGCATGTTTGCTCGTCCGCATTTCTCGTCTCGTTTGCTCATTTGTCGCTTCGCTGATGTTCGCTGACAGGCGGCGAGCATTGCGATTCCGACAGCGATTGTGCTCACACTTGAATCAGTGCATCAATCTGTCCATCAGTCAGTCAGTCAGTCAGTCAGCCAGTCAGCCAGACTGCAGCCAGAGGCGTTTAGTGTATGCACTCATAGATACAAGACTTCTTCTTTTCTGGCTTCATTTGCAAACGATCAAATCTTTAGCAGCTCTATCGCGCCAGCTACCCGACCAGCTACACGCCAATGCAGAGCGCGTGAACATTCTACAAGATCTACATAGATTACCACAGTCCAAGGCAAAGCATAGCAAAGCAGAGCACAGCTGCCAGCTACGTGGATGACTTGGCTCGAACCATGCGGGTGCACGGGTGCACGGGTGCGGGCGGAGTCTACCAGGCCAAAGCATTCCAAGATGCTCTGCGGGCGAAGATAACCAAAGGCGAGTCAAGTAAAGACTAACATAAAGAGTCCAAAGAGTAGCAAAACGAAGTCTTTAATACCCTGTACTGAAAAGTTCTCGTTTTTTAACATACAAGCACCAAATAGCTGTTAGCAGAGTTCCACTGCACAACATTCAAGTCATTCGAATGATGTTGATGAAATGCCAGCGTTAACATTTGATTGACAAATTACCAATGAGACAACAACTAATAAATTCAATTGGAATGACACATGCATCAATGTGCATACCAATGGAATTAACGTCATTAAATACATTCTAACATTGACAACGTAAACATGTGAATGACAATTTAACAAACGCGTTCCTTGCCCGCACACACACACACACACGCACACACACATTCAGAATGAGACATTGATTTATGCGAGAAATGCACATGTGGTAGCGGGGTCATTCAAAACATTCTCTAGATAACAACGTTTACACGTGAATGACAAAGTGGCAAATTTTTTAAAAAACATACGAAAACTTCATTATTATTATAATTGCTTGTATTTTTTTTTGTAAATAATGATTGTAAAGTTGGCTTAAGGAATTTTACAATTAGCTGCTTGACTCTATTAAAGAAAATCTCGAAAGTATAGTTTTTCCCTGCCTATTTTTTCTTCTTCTTCCTCTGTGATTAATTTGCTGTTGCATGCGGCGTTAACACCTGGACAACCGCTGGACAGATTTCCATCAGCAAGCTCATCAATTTTAAAATTGAAAACCTCCCGCAGAAGAGTCGCACTTGGAGCGCGGGGCGCGGGGGAAGGAGGGCTGCGGGGGCCGTTGATGATGTTGTTGATGGAGCTGGCCAAATTGTTGAAGTAAAAATCTAAGCATTAAGCTGCCAGCGCCCAGTCTAGTGCAGCAGGAACCCCCATAGTATCCCCCTCTCCCTTTCCTCCTGAAAAGCAAACCATTTTTCAATTGTGTCCCCACGCGTCCCTCTCCAAGGAACATTGTGTGATTGTTGTTGTTGTTGTTGCTGGTTCTTGGGTCATTTAGTTGCCAGTTTAGCTGCAGAGTGGCTGTTGCTTGTCTGTCACTTGGCTAGCAGTGAGGCTTTTGATGCCACGATATAATTTTTGGCCTAATGAAGCATAAAATGGCAACAACAACAACAAAAACAATCTCATGATGAGCATTCTGTGCGGCTCATTGTCATTGGTAGCAGCAACTGCGTTGCAAGTAAATTCTTTAGCCAGTTGCCAGTTGCCAGTTGTTGGCCGTTTGTGAAAGTCTAAAACCGCAGATCAAGTTGGCTGGGCAATCGTGTTTACCCTAGAGTAGGAGTCGCTAGACATTGCCATTCCGCCTGCGGGTCAGACGGCAAAAGGGGCGTGCGGAAGGGGTGCCAGGTGCTGGGGGGGATGGGGCTGGCGATGCGACGTTGCGGCTTCACTGGATAACTGGCATTTGCAGACGGTTGGCTCTGGCGCACTTGAATTTCGATTCCCATAATTTTGCAAATTATGCAGAAACATTCACGCACACACAAACACACACAGGCACACACACACACAGACAGACAGACAAACACACACCCAAGCGGTAGAAACCTGGCCCAAGACATAGATAAACGCAACAGATTGCGGTCTCTGTGAGTGGCCCAGGAAATGGACATTGACGACATCACAAGACGTCAGCGGCAGCCACATCTCTGACCAGCATGTGGGAGAGAGAGAAAACCTGACCATGTCGACCCATAAAAATGCTCGTTATGCCAACAACAACAACAACAACAACAACGGCAAACAAAAGAAATTGCATTTTGTGGCATTTGGGCATACTTCATCAAAGTCAGTTGAGCGCAGTCATCATAACTATATACACCTGCACATGCACACATATATATATATATATATATAATATATAAATATATTTTATATATATATATATAATCATGGTCATAATCATAGTCATAAGCCATGACAGCTGCTGGGAAAAAATTGCACTCTGTTTCCAATAGAAGAAAGTGTATATTGGTTTGCATTAATATCCATCCCGAACACTGCATACCCTGTGCCCAACGGGAAATGAGGTATATATGTTTGCCATATTGTTTGTCAAGTCTTGAAGGGAGAAGGGGTTTAGTTGGGTGACGGTAATATCTATCGCTAGACTTCAGCATATGTTCGTATGTCTGCCCCATAATAAATATTAAGTCTTATGATTTGTTTGATGAGCTCCTTACGCAGTGCGCTTCTTCTTCTTCCCATTGCCCTACACTATGTCTGGGAAATGAATTCTTTAATAACTTCGATGTTTGCAATCCGATCTTCATGAGACTTTTTGCACTTGAATGTGACATACAAAAATGTGCATATACCTGCTTTTTCATTTCCAACTTAAAGGGGAATGGAAAGGAATATATCTATAAAATAAAATATTTGCAATCTGTGCATACCACACAAAAACTAGTTACCCAGATCTTAGATGGGAGAGTATAAAGACAATATATATATTGCATATAATATAGAGGAATATATAAATAAAATATTAATTACAATTTCATTTCTCCAACCTTTGTAGTTTCCGGCCTTACACAAACGAACAGGCAGACGAACATGACATATATATGGCACATATAACTTAGCTGATCCGGATTCTTCCGGCATTCTTCTGTCTGTAGCAAATAGTTGCACAAAAACAATATACCCTTTTATACCATTTCAGTAGGGTAATGGTGCACCAAATTTAAAGATTTGATTTAAGTTAATTGAAAGATATTCAACCTTTCAAGACCTTTCTTTCTTACTAATTTTCAACAATTTGATGCTAATTTTCGGTCTGGGAACAGAGTATCTGACAGTGGTTAGCCCCCGCCTACAACTTGTTATTTCTGATTTTGAGTGGCAACACTTATTGTTGTTGTCGCTTCTGACCCTCTTTTTTTATGGGGCATCGCTATTTGAGTTGAGCTTGTCAAAGTGTCAACAATTTTGAACTTGGCCTTGAACTCGACCCCAAAAGGAATCATCTCTCAGCAACCGCGACTGCAACTGCGACTGCGACTGCGACTGCAACTCAATCATGGTCATCAACATCATCTGTGATCTGGTGGACTACTGTGAGGCAAATTGCCTGCCCATCCAAATGCATTTGATTGTTTCGGATGCTGTCAGCTGGCGAGGCTCACACTCCACACGCACTTCCATTGGGACCTGCTGCACCATCTTCATCTGGTGGCCACGGCATTTGCCATTACCATTAAAGCCAATCAATTCTGGGCCCAAGACGTCCATCAAAATTTGTAACAAGCGCCCGCGGCGCACTCTCGTTGCTGGGCTTGGCCAACTAGATCTGGGCTGGGGCCTGGCTCTGCATCTGTATCGGGGTGTGTGCCTGCGCCTGGGCCTGGGCCTGGGCAAACAGGCAGCTCAGCTATTTGACAGCGCTTGACGCGCGAAATGATTAACATGTTGACTGGGCTCAAGCAGGCGCTGGCGGCGTGACGAAAGACGCCAACAACAATCAACTAACAAACGCCTCAAATGCTGAATCACTGCATCAACAATAAAACCAACAACAACAGCACATCCAGGGCTCGGCCCACGCACTCGGTATTGGCTGCTGGCAGCCCAGCCTCATCGATGGGCGGCAATTTCCTGCCCCATTCGCACTTGGCTTGCAGGTGAGCTGCTCCGCCTCAACGCAACTGAAGACTGAAGCCATTTACAAGGTCTGCTTTATTGATCAATTCACAAGCCAGGCAGACGTAAAGACGATCCAATAATTAGGCATATTCTGAATAGGCCCAATTAGCACAAGTGTAAAACAAATAAAAGAGTTTATGGTCGGGAGTGCCCGTCTAGAGATACCCAGCTTCCTTCTAAACTGTGACTGTGCTTCTCCTTCTTCTTTCCTTTGACAGTCACTATGCTTCTTCTTCTTTCCTTTAACTCACACACTATGCATAGGAAATGCAGTCTTGATTTACTTCGCTGCTAATAGTCCGATCTTAAAGGAATTTTCGAAGCTAGAAGATGTCATACAAAAATGTACATATACCAAAGTACAAGGCCTCACCTTTTGAAATTATTTTGAAGGTAATCAGAAGAGATTCAAGATGTGAAATATTCCCAAGCTATATACATATATTATGCGAGAAGGTCAAGCCTGTTATATTTGGCTCTGACATTTTTCGAGTTCTACATATATTTCAAGATTGAAATTTTCAAAAAGAAGAAGAAGGACTCAAATACCGTATGGGGTTGGATGTGCTTCCTTTGCTCTTTATCTCACATCAACTAGAATTTAGTCTAAGTGAAAATTGCTTTTTACAGGGTATGTAACGAGCGCAGCTATTCATAATTATGATAAAAACTATAAGCCAAAATTAGATTGCCTTTCGACTTGGCGCACAGATCTTGCGTGTACCCAAATTAAGCAGAAATCATTTAAGAAGAGAAAACATTTTGCAACCGTTTTTTTTTTCTTTTTTTTTTTTTTGCTTTGGCATATTTGGTTATTTTTAGCATTTTGCCGAATCATTAAAATTAAGTAATTGAAATGAATTGGTGAAATGCAAGAGATGGCGGGATTGCAGTTTTAATAATGATCGGCTAGGAAAGCTAAGCAAAGCAGCACCACCGAACAACCGCACCACCGAACAACAGCACCACCAACCATCGCCGACGGATGTGGCTTGGCAGCAAGGCTCATTAGAGCTGGCCGCGGATGGCTGTTGCGGAATGAATGTGGGGATGAGGCGTCGCATCGTTTTGCTTTGACCAGCACGAATATTCAATTAAGCCAAATTACAATCTTAAAGCCAAGAAAGTGATTCGCCGGGCAAGAATGAATGGCCTGCAGTCACAGCAAGCGCTTGACTCGCAATTTCCACACTCATCATCGAGTCGAGTGTGTGACTAGGAGAGTGGGAGGGGGGCCTAAGCTGGTTGAGTTGTCAAAAGGTTGAAATTAGCATTGACCCTGTTGGGCATTTGGCTGGCTAATAGGCCGCCGGCCAAAAGGTGCCAGCCTCAATTTACCGTTGT